TAATCGGCTCTTCACAGAGCCACAGTTCCTTACACTCCAAATGGTTAAGTCTTCCACCAGTGATGGAAATGTATGTCTAACCTCAAAAAAGCCACCAGGGACAAATGCTTAGACTCCAGCTAATCAGATGATAACTTTGGTTACTCCATGTAGAAATGAATTAGAAGAGTTTGTTGTTTTATTGTACTTCTTGCAGATTTTCTGCTTACATCATGAGCGAGTATAAGTGTTCTTTGGTCTGTAAAAATGAGCATTTGTGTAACTGATTTTCCAGTGATAGAGTGCCTACAGCTGTACTGGAAAACAGAGCTGCAAAATCACCAGAGGGAAGGAATTGGCTCAGAACAATCCGGTGGTGAGCGTGAGGGCATTCTCCCCAGACACAGGGTTTCACAACGGGTTTTGCAGAAATAAGAATTTCTTCTCTCCTTTGCGCTGTTTGCTCCTGGAGACGTGCTAGTGAGTAGATTCTCAATTAAACATTCTCAATAATGTGACTATTAAACATGTAGGGCTTTGCACTTGTTGGTAAATTCTGGTATTTATGCTTTGCGTTTGCTAAGCTCACTAGGAGGGGTCTAGAGAGACGGCTGCTGGGCGGCAGAGCCTGCAGAACATGTGTGCTGCCAACCTGCCTGTGAAGGTGAGACAAAGGAAATTTCAGTTCAGAGTTCAAGCATGTTTGCCGACGTTACACAACCCCTTTGAATATGGCTGGTGACTCATTGTAGGAAATGATTAACCTGTTCTGTTTTATTTATTGACAGTGTCTTTATGAAAAAGACCGACCCCATAAGGCACTTAAAATTGGATCTGGAGAATCTGGGGGATGCTCTGTGTTTAAGAAAAGCGATGGATAGTACATAATCCTTTTTGGACTCCTGTGCATTAGGCAATATTAGCTCAAGATAAATAATTTAGTCCCATATTTACACATGAGGCTACTAAGGTTCAGAGAGATTCCTAATTTGCCCAAGTTACAGACCTAGCAGGTAGCAGGACCAGGATTTAAACCCAGACCTATTTGGGTAACTGTAAGGACTTCCCAACACTGTAGCTGTGGATCGTATTCTAACAGGCGATGATAAACACGTGAAACCTCCTAGCAAATTCAGAAATGTAACCAAATCACCTAGATAAGACGCCAAAGAGTCCTAGTCTCAGAGCATCCGCTACAGATTCTGATCCAGAAAACTGGGGTGGGGGAAGGCCCTGGATGAGCTCTCAACAAGCTCCACTCAGCGGTTCCACTGCAGACGATCTCCTGACCTCAGACACTTTGAGAAAACCCAGGCCCGACCCAGTGGACCTTAACTAACCCTTCATGAGCAAAGAACCCTGTGAGAACCTGATGACCATCTGGACCAATTTTTCAGAAAAATGCACAATTCACACCCCAGATGTTGCATACACCTTTAGGGGGTGCATGTCCCCTCTGAAGCCGCGGCTGCTTGGTCTCTGTGTCCCAGTTAAATGTGGCCTAGTAGGAAGCCCCTTCCACCCTCCCACCAAGAGATGTCACTCTTCAGCTCCAAACAGCCCTCCTGTCGTTTCCTTTCTCCTCAATTACAAAGGAAAGCATCTCCCAGGAAAATGAGTTTACTGTTTGGAAAGAAGCTTCCCCTTGTAAGTCAAGCAGATTCTGGCACGGTGCTTCAGTTAAGGTGAAATGGAATGATAGTGTCACTTACACTACCACAGTGAAATCAAGGCGCTGTGATTAAAACCAGCGATAGGCACCACAGATTAAAATGGGGACAAGCCATACTGTTTTCCCAAAGTCCCTTCTCTAACTTCCTTTCAGTCTCTTCCTTTTCTCTTAGGTCTCCATGTGAAGCTAGCCTTCGCATCCTCAAATAACCAAGATTTAGTAGGACATCATTTGAACATGTAAGTAAATAATTTTGTCACGGGGTCCTCAGAAATGTACCTTTCATAGGCTCTGGATTCTGTAAAATGGGAAAGGCCTGGAACCTAGATAAACCTGTGGCTAGAAGTAAGTGAAGAGCGCCTGGGGACACTGTGATTTGTACATAAATGTCATATGTTTATGTAATTGTCCTGGGAGAGAGTCCAGGGCTTTCACCAAAATCTTAAAGGAACCTTTGACTAAAATTTAAAAAGTAATCATTTATAAGAAGAGTCGGATCTCAAGAGGGCTCGACGAGCAAGCAGGGTGAGCAAAGCCAGCGAGTGCGGGCTGGCTGGGCATCTTCTTCAGACATAAAGCGGTGGAAGCGTCGTGTATGTTGTATGTATGGTGTGTGGCCACATATTCTGGTGATAGTGGTCTTGATTTGGGGCAGGAGGTCCCCTCGTCCAGAAGCACATCTGCCCCAGCGCGGGGACAGAGGCATGCCTTTTGGACCAGGGAGACCTGTTTCAGGGACAAGGCAGCTTAGATGCACCTGACTCCTAACGTCCTTGAAGGTCAGGAATAATGCTGCTAAATCCTCAGGCTGTTGGGAGGCAGACATGACCTGCCGGCTCCAGGCACAGGGTCTGCCACAAGTGGGCACTCAGAATATTTGTCTGTTCCTTCCTTGTCACCACCACACTGACATCCCCCACGGTGCAGGTGCCAAGCGCAGCTGACGTACCGCTCAGCTGGGGCGGCATCTGCCAGACGGCCTGGAGTCTGTGTGGGAAACTGGGAGGAAAAGCTGCCTTTAGGAACTCCCAGTCCCCGGTCCGCCCTCCATCTCCGTTGCAGAGGTAAGCAGGGACCTGGGGCACAGACCGCGCCCGAGGACCACAGGGACTTCCAGGGATGAATACACAGCGCCCTGTCCTTGGGAGGGCTGCCCCTGGCAGGGCAGACAGAGCCACAGACAGGTCAGCAGACGCCACGGGACATGGGACACAAACAACACATGTATAGGCACAGATACTCTACACACCTGAAAACAGGCCAGAAGAGCCACACGGGGTTGACTTGGGAAACAGTCATAGAGGAAATGATTGTGCAGCAATATTTGTAAAGTGGGGGATGGGATATGATTTGGGAGAAAGAACAAGTGCAGGAGAAAGCTAAGGGAGTCGGGACAGAGCCCTGGCCCGGGGTCGGCTGCAGGGGGAGGTCGCCGGGGGGCACCCTGCAGGGGAGCCGCCCCTGAGGTCCCTCAAAGAGGTGGCGGCAGCTAGGTGTGGGGGAAGGGAGCCAGCTAATCGGCAGAGACCCTTGAAGCTCATGATTAGGAGTTTCAATTTAATTCAAGAGGCAGTTGGACCTACTGTAAGCTTCTAGGAAGGGGCGAGATGATCAAAATGATGCTGAGGACAGTGATTCTTGCTGCTCTGAGGCGGGAGCATTAGAAGAGGGAGCCCCAGGCAGGGGGTGTGACCTGTTCCGGAGCCTAGGGTCATGGGCCAGCCCAGGACGGGCTCCTGGGGTGAGATGGAAGGAGCACGACTGGAATGCTCCAGAGGATGAATATTCATTCATTCTCCTTGGGACCAGGCAGGGGCTTAGGTGCTGAGACAGCCGGGGGAACAGGCACGGAGGCTGCGAGGGGAAGAGACCGTCACACAGCTCCGACGTGGTGACATACGTGCGGTGACCACTGACTCACAGGACATGAGAGGACGCAGCAGGGACTGCCCCTGCGTGTGGGAGGCGTGCAGGGCGTCAGGGACGCCTTCCCCGAGGACGTGGTGTTTAAGCTGGGAATCAATGAAGAATCAGACATTAACTGAGTGAAAATTCACTGGGGAAGCACTCCAGGCAGAAAGCCTCAAGAGGAAAGGGTGGGAGCACAGGCATGAGGGAAGGGAAGGACGGTGTCAGGGGGCAAGCAGGCTGGGGCAGGGCGGGGTGTGCGCCTCGCCCTAGGAGCCGTGAAGGGACCAAGGGGAGACCGGGCTCATTTCCATTTCAGAAACGTTGCTCCAGCTGTGTTGTGAGAGAGGAGGATCAGGTGTGGTGCTCAGGCTGGGAGACTCGCCATAACCCAGGGGAGAGGAGCTTCGGACGTCGGATGAGGACACGTAGACATTTAGGATGCAGAAATCATGGAAGGAAAAGCGATTGAAAGGAGGGAAGGGTCAGCAGGGACTCCCAGAGAGGGGAGAGGCACCCTTGAGAGCTGGCCTGCAGACGCACCAGCCCCGGGAGTCGAGTCTCTGGTTCTTTTTAAGACGCACTTCTTTCATCTGTTCCCTCACCACGCTCGTGTTTTCCTTTACGTCCTTGAATGTACTTAGACAATTCAATTCACAATTTATTTTTAAGTTCTTTGTCTGCTGGTTCCATTACCTCTGTCACTTATAGATCTGTCTTGGTTGGTTACATTTTCTCTGGGGTGTGGGTCATATTTTCCTGCTTCTTTGTATACCTGGTAATTTTTACTAGGTGCCAGACACTGTGAGTTTTACATCATTGGACACTAGATTTGTTGTATTCTTAAAGAGTTTTGGACTTTTTTCTGACATGCAGCTAAGTTATTTGACATTTTCAATGCTTGCTTTTAAGCCTTTTCTGAGCAGGTCTCAAGGAGAATAGGATTTCTGCTTTCAGCCACGATGGAGTGACAGGACTGGATTCACCTCCCACCTAGGCAACAACCACCGGATTAAACATGCGAAACAACTGCTATCAGGCAAAGAAAGACTGCGATGCCCGAAGGACGGGAGACACGTGAGGTGAGTCCTATGCTCGCTCCAGCTTCCTACTGGACAGGCTGTCCAGGCCAAAGCAACAGTGAGTGGGACTTGGGGGGTCCTGTCGGACTCCCTGAACTGAGGAGATAGAGCTGAGAGTCTGGGGAGACCAACACAGCTACAGTTCAGAGGGTGGAGTGCCAGAGAACAGAGAGATGCACAGAGAGAGAACCCCACAGTATGTATCAGTACAAGCTGGTGACACAGTGAGCCGAGGCTGGGGAGAAAGCTTTCTAAGAGGGTCAGAAAGAATAGTGACCGGCACTTGCACAGGGCTAGGAATAGTGTCTATTCCCACCAACCAGACTAGAAAACCTCATACTGCACGGAGCATCGATAGGGTCCTTAATAATGGAGGATGATTCTTAGCCCTGGACAACACCGTGCTCTGCTATAATCCAGAAGGCCCAAAGTATCAAATGATTCCCAAGTTAACAACTGCATTTCCAAACAACGCTGAAGAATATTTATAAAAATTCAAAAATATCCACCACCCACTAAGGTAAAATCCCCAAATCTGTCCCCAAACACAGATTATCAGGTATAACTACAAAGTGCACTTCAAAGAAGTTTATTTTTAAGAAATAATTTGCATGATAGAAAAAATTGAGTGAATCTAAAACAAGCAAACAGCCAGTCCTGGACTTCATTTCTTTCAGCTCAACAATACCCTTTTGGAAGATTTTAGGACTTTTAGGGAATAAGCAGGAAAAGGAAAAGATTCGGGGTTACTAAGGTGACTGGAAACAAAATTTTCCCACTAACTATTATGATCATTAAGCAGCCAGCATGGGTTTACATAATCAATAATCCCAGAGGCCTTTATGTCTTTTGTTTTTCTTTTGCCTTTAAACACATTTGTCGATAAGCCTATCACGGGAACACAGCGCCGGTGGCGAGAGGCATGAATCACTGGATGTGATCACCACCCGACACATTGCATCCGGGCACAGATACACGGCATTGTAGAATCTCTCTTTTCCAGCCTATAGTGTGTTTGCTGTGTTATTTAAGAATATCCAGTTCTGAAGAAAGAAAACCACATAAGATGGGTAGAGCTCATAAGAAGGGTTCAGTATGAATACAAAATAAATGAGTAGCTCACGCAAGAGAAACTCTCCATCTGTTAAATATAGATGAATGAGCAGAGAGCCCAAGAAACATAGAATTCCTAAGATGTGCTCAGCATTAGGTGATAAGTAAATTGGCAACCTGTGAAATATGCCGTACGTTCAAAGGGACAGGGCAACAGGGGCGTTCCTTTTGGCAGAAGGGAGGGGAAGACCTGTCATAAAGTACGGACCATGCTACCTTGAGGCCGATAGTCGCATCATCTGTAGGTTGTCCGTCTTTCAGCATCTCGGCATCATCCTTCACGGCCGTACATACAGTCTGGCCAGAAACGCAGATAATCCCACAGCTGTTTAGCAGACGAACTGGCCAGGGGTTCCTGCCCCGCGTCTTCCCAAGGAGGCAGGTGGTCCCGGTCACCTTCTTTCTGCTGCCCTCACCCCCCGTGTCCAACCTCAGTCTGGCCCTCCTACCCACAACACAGGCAGAGAGAGGGGTACCTGCCTTCATCTGCCTTCCACACCACTTGCTCCCTGTCCTGAAAGTGGTGACCCACCCCATCTGGGTCCCCCTGCCTCCCATTCTGTGTTTTGAATAGATCCAATAAATCATGTGATTTGAGCTATTAATTTGGTCCATGACCCTTTCTATCCCATGACCTGAAAATCTCCCCCCAGGAGTGAACGTAGAGGCTGACATTCCTTACAACACAGCCCAATTTGGGGGATAGTTAAGGCAGTTTTAGGTCCACTGGATCATTTTTAACATATTTAAGGTACAAATAAAACTTCTTCCTGCATTTCTAAATCAAGTCAGTGTTCATCCAAGCAAGTCCCTTCATCACACACCCTGCCAGGTAACATGAGTGCTTATGCGGCTACAGAGCAGGAAAACCACGGGTTTTTTAAGTGGAGGGGCAGGAGAGGAGGAAGGGGGGTTTGGAGGGTGTGTCACACCCCTCGGGATTCCCTCCCATTCATTTGTTGATTCAATGAACACCTGCAGGCGCTGCACCATGTTCCACCCACTGCGGCGGGGTGAGAGTGATAGCTGGGCACGGGGCCCACTCAGGGAACATGCCCCCTCCAGGAGGCCCCAGGCGTGAGACCCGAACAAATTGGTGAGTGACGGGCAGGAGAGGCCTTCACAAAGGGCCACAGGAAAGAGGTGGGTGTGGTGTACTGCACAGGGGTGTTTGCATGCAAAGGAAAGCAGACCTTAGGGAGGACATGTCACTTGAGAAATCTTAGAGGAGCGATAGGGCTTTGCCTGTGGACAGATGACCACACTTCGGCGCGACTATTATGAGCAAAGACTCAGGCATGTGCAAGAATGGGAGTGTGGACTGTGGAGAGCGGGTGTGCATGGGGCAGAGAATACAGAGGGGAAGGCAGGTGACAACATGGGGACAGGCCACATAGAGCCCTGGGGTAAAAGCCCAGAGGCCTCGCCCTGAGCCACTCCTCCAGTCGCACAAAATTAATCATAGTGGTGAAGCATGCAGGGAGGTCACCTTGACTCTCCTCTCTCCCACTCCCGACACCCATTCCAATGGTCGGCCTCCTGTCGGCTCTGCCCGGGAGAAACATCAAGCCCTGCGCCTCTCATGCCTCGGCCCGGGGACTGCCCCCTCTTGGTCTGGCCACAAGGGCCTTGGAACAGGCCTCCCTGCTTCTGTCCCACCCCAGCCCTCCCCAGCATTCTCCGCAACCCAGCAGCCAGATGATCTCTGAACACCTGAAGTCAGAGCCAAACTCTGCTCTGCTGAAAACCCTCCCAAGCTCCCATCTCAGGGTGAAACCCGAGTCCTTGGCACCCACACAGTCCAGTGTGCGCTCCGCCTCGTCCCTCTGGCCCTCGCTTTGCTCCAGCCACCCTGGCATGCTCCTGCCCACCATGGCCCCCCTGGCCCAAGCTGCCCCTGTGTGGGGAGCCACCCCTACCCCACCCCCATGGCTCCCTCCCTCCCTCCTCCAGGCCCTGCTCAGAAGTGCCTCCCCACAGAAGCCTCTCCTGACCTGGCCCAGGGGGGCCCTGGCCTTCCTCCCTCCCTCCCTCCCTATCCCCCCTCTCGTTTTCCCACAGCCCTCAACAGCACCCAGCATACTAGCTCTGTAAATACTTGGGGAGTGAATGAGTGAATGCATGCATGCATGAGCTGTGGGCACATTTTAAACACAGGATTCCGATGGTCACTTTTACATCTTAGAAGGATCCCTCTCAAGATGCTGAAACAGGGAGATGGGAAGAGGTATCAAAGCGCCTGCCGCAGAGGACTGGCTGCTAGAGATGCTTATAAGAAGAACAGAGATGGAGGCTGTTCACAGGCTGACAGAGACCAGCACTAGCGGTAAGGAGAGACTTCAGTTTGACGTGGCGAATATTTAGTAAGCATTTGCAAGGGATCACGGGAGGGACGAGGAGCGCCTAGCCAGGATAGAGAGGCCCAGGAGTTGTGGTCAGGTGAGTCCAGGCCGCGAGCGCAGTCGGGTGCAAGCGCTGGGAGAGAGGAAGAGACAGGGGTTGCTGTCCGTCAGTGCGGAAGCCCAGATGTCAGAGCGGGAGAGAGCAGGGAGAGAGCGCTGGAGCCGCGTCTTGGGACACGGGTAGAATTTCAAAGGCAAAAACTGGAAAGAGCAGTGCCGTGATAGGTTTTGAATTTTACCACCTCTCTCGTCACTTATACAACTTCTGATAGAGTTGCTAATGCCTTGAGAAGTAGTTCTTTCTATACCCTACAAAATAAAAATTTGAAAAAAGAGGGTGAGGGACACAGAAAAGCAGGAAAGAAGAGTCAGGATAAGTCACTCCCTGGATAATTTGGTCCAGAACGAATGAACCACGGCAGTGAGATTTTAAGAAAACACAGGCCTAATAACTGCCTTGTTCAGATGCGTCACAAAGGGAACAACAAAAAACCCATCCGAGCAGGTAACTCTGCTGACCCCTGGGCTCCGGCCTGGGAGGACCCTTTCCGGCCCGAGTGATGCTGTTACACAGGCACGTTGAGATCCCTGGCGAGCAGGATTCCTACACACAGGCTGACAGGCATGCAGCCTTACAGCACCTGCCTACATTTTTAATGAAACTCTCAGATTAAGCAGTGCCTGGCTGCAGTGTATCATTAATACAAATTCTTAACTGTCAATTCGTTAACTGGCTAGTAACCAGAACCTGGTTGATAAGACTGTTGCTAATGAATATATGCTTTGTTCCCAGGCAAAGCATCTGCTTTGGATATGTAGTTAGAAGAAGCCCCCCCCCCACCTCCCCACAGGGGGGAAGGGGTGCAGCTGAATGAAGATTATTATACCTGCAAGGGGTCGAAGTCTGGGGACCTGGAGCTTATGGTATCATGACAGATTACAGAATCGCTCCACTATGTTGGTCTGTCTGTTTCCAAGCACCTAGCAGGGGAGCTAGCTGGGCACTGGATGCTTTGAAACAAGACCCATCGGTTTTCTCCCTAAGGCCTAATGACAGGTCAGCTGTTGTTGACACCGGCCCACAGCTCACAGGTCAGAGCCTTCCTGACCTCTGCCTCGCGATGCCACGTTCTCCTCCGAGAGGCGCCCTGTGCCTCAGGCCATAATCCACCCCAGAAAAGAGCTGCCATGGGTTTGGAGCTCACAGTAGCCCCATGGCCCCCGGGCACCCTCTGGTTCCGGCTCTCTCCCTCTCCTGTCCTTCCCCCTCTCCCTCTCTCCCTTCCGTTGTTGCCCATCCTCACCCTCCTCTTCTCCGGCGGGCGTACGCCTTCCTAGAAAACATATTTGGAGAGGAGAGTAACCAGATAGACACCTGACTCCTCCAAACACCTTCGTTTTGAAGTCAGTTGACACAAGGACCTATAAACCCGTTTCAAACTCAAGAGGTCGGAAGAAACTTGAAAAGGGGAGGGTGGTCGGTGATGAGCCTGGGAGAGGCAAGCAGGGTCACTTTGCAAGAACCACGGCAGCCAAACAAAGGGAGGACTTTGGCCACTGGCTCGGAGGGCTCTCCCTGAGTGCTGGGGGTGCTTCCCGTGGGTGCACGTGGGCTCCCCTCCAGGGCACCAGGCGGGCTCTCTGGATCTCCATGAACCCCATCACGCCGCGGCCAGTCACAGTCAGGTCAGTCTCTGCCCCACCGGGCACGTGTCCTGGGTCCTCAAGCTGCCCTTACACGCTGCACTGGAAGCAGCCCTCCCTGGGAACATTTTTATCAAGTGGAATCTAACTGATGTTTCATGTTTCTCTCAACTTTACCTGTTATGGTGCATCTGAAGAAAGAGACGCTTGAATGGTACCTTTCCAACATCTGAGAATGTAAAAGAAAGTAGTTGGCCAAATCCATGGAAAGAACGTGAAGAAATGAGGCAGGCATGTGGGAGAGTTCTAAGCCGCTTGAATTCATCCAGGGCTGAGGGTCTCCACTGCCCAGCGAGTGTGACTGGGGAGCTGTGCACTTAAGAAATGCTGAGCAGCTACAGGTAACTGGAGACACAGATCAGAAACCCAATGATAATTTATACTCCCAAGTATTTTCATTTCCTAATTTATTGGGAGTTTTTGTTCATTCTATCACATGGGTTTATTCAGGAAATTAATCTTTTGAAAGCACAAATGCATGGGTGATACTGTTATTTTTTTCCAAATAAGACAAAAAGAAACACGTTTCCTGTGAGCACCGGAGTCTGCCTTCTCCTCGCTGTTACCTTGGGGGAGCGAAGCGGCGTCACACAGGAGGAAGAGTTTGGAGCCACGAGTCAGGCTTGCCTTCCACCTGCTGTGGCAACTCCTCCAGCTCTCAGAGCCTCGGCTTTCCCTGCAGGGGACTTTCAACCAGACACTGGAGAGACTCTGCGTCCCTTATCGCTTGAAGAGAATGATTTTAGAAAGCAAGGACATGTTATCAGTAGAGGAATGGATAAAGAAGATGTGGTACATATACACAATGGAATATTACTCAGCCATAAGAAAAAAACAGATTCTACCATTTGCAACAACATGGATGGAGCTAGAGGGTATTATGCTCAGTGAAATAAGCCAGGAGGAGAAAGACAAGTACCAAATGATGTCACTCATCTGTGGAATATAAGAACAAAAGAAAACTGAAGGAACAAAACAGCAGCAGAAGCACAGAACCCCAGAATGGACTAACGGTTACCAAAGGGAAAGGGACTGGGGAGGACGGGTGGGAAGGGAGGGATAAGGGCGGGAAGAAAAGAAAGAGGGCCTTACGATTAGCATGTATAGTGTGTGGGGGGGGACGGGGAGGGCCGTGCAACACAGAGAAGACAAGTCGTGATTTTACAGCATCTTACTACACTGATGGACAGTGACTGTGAAGGGGTTTGTGGGGGGAATTTGGTGAAGGGGGGAAGCCTAGTAAACATAATGTCCTTCATGTAATTGTAGATTAATGATACCAGAATAAATAAATAATAAATAAATATAAAATAATAAGGAGAAGAATTAAAAGGAACAGCAAGCTTTGTAAACAAAACTATCAATGATTTTGGTGCTTCAATCATTTTTAAAAGGGAGAAACACTTTTCTCATGAAATAAATTTAGTTTACAAATAGGGAGACTGAAACATTTTAAGATCTCAAGTCCTAATGTTCAAAACACGGACTTACCATGTATGCATAGAGAAGACAATTCAAAAGTTATAAATGATGGTGTACCTAAAGCCACATCATTTTTGCTATCCATCATGTATGACGTGGTATAGTTTTAGGAAAAGGAATTCTAGTCTTTTTCAACAGAGAACTATTTTACCCCTTGACAAAGTTCAACTTTCTTCATAGGGACATGGGCATATTATTTTGTATTCTCTGATCAGTAATTTTAGATAAGTGTCTAAAAATGAATATAATTTACAAATGTATTTTTTAAAAGAAAGTTCTGATTATTTTCATTAGAGGGGAAGGCGGTGCATTCACCTTGGCCATCGTGGCAGCCTAAGCAGAGTCCACTGGCTGCCCTGGCGCAAAACACAGAGTAGATACTCAGTATATATTTTTTGAATGAGCAGATATTTGCTAAATGGTTGTAAAAGGGGGTTAGTTAAGGCCATTATGTTTAAAGGGTTTAGTGATTTGTAACTGAATGCACCATAAAATTCAGCAAATGCCGCCCTAAGGTCTGCTCTTCCTGGCAGTTTCTGGGGCACACATTCTCTTCTCCTAGGACACATCAGAGTCACTGATTCTGCCGGCATTCAAATTTACTTGTTATTATTATTTTTAAGAATGGGGAGTTATACACTTGACAAGTATGCAAAGGAATATTTGATTAAGTTATAATAAAAGGTAATTTTGTAAACTGTACAAAATAGCTGAAATTCAACAGAAGTATACATTCTTTTATAGTGTGACTCTGTTAAAAATCAATCAATAAAATGAAAAAAATAAATCAACTATAAGAAAAAAAAAAAGAAAGAAAGAAAGGACATGTTTCGGAGGAGGGGCAGGGGAACCCCATGACAGACCAGGGGGACAGGGAGAGCGAATGCCGGAAGAGCAAAGGGGGGTCTGAAGCCCACAGACCCCGATGCGGCGGAGACCGTCTTGTCAGCCCACTCCCGGGTAAACTTCAGAGAGGCTGAATGAGCTTTTCTGAGCTTTTTATCTCTTCTCTCCTGTGCATCCACTGGTGGACAGGCCAGTGGGCGCTACGTCGGGGGAAAGTAGGGAGCTGGAGGAACAAGGATGGAGGATGGGAAGATTCAGACCCCACACCGTCAACTGCAGCCGCCTAGATGTGAAGGTGGCTCCCCCCCTCCCCTGACACCTTGACCCTGAAGTCCAGATGTTTAAAAGGGATGTTCACATGGACTGTGCCCAACAGCCTTGATTCTAAAGGACCCATTTGGAACCCTCCTGCATTGTTGGTGGGTCAGTAGAAGCAGTCAGAGTTCCTCAGAAAACTGAAAATAGACATACCATACAATTCAGCAATTCCGCTTCTGGGAATTTATCCAAAGAAAACAGAAATCACTAATTCTAAACGATAGCTTCCCCCCTTTGTTTGTTGTGGCATTATTTACACTAGCCAAGATAAGGAAGCAACCCAAGTGTCCATTAACAAATGAATGGAGATACAGTGGTACATATACACAATGGACTATTACTCAGCCATAAAAAAGAAATCCTGCCATTTGTGCAACATGGATGGACCTAGAGGGTATTAGGCAAGTGAAATAAGCCAGGCGGAGAAAGACAAATACCCTATGGTTTCACTTACATGTGGACTCTACAAACAAAACAAAACAAAAAAGAAAGAGACCCATAAATACTGACAACAGATTGCTGGTAGGGAAGTGGGGTGATGGGTGAAACAGGCAAAGGGACAAAGCAGTGCAAACCTCGTTATAAATCAGCCATAGAAATGGAAGTTCGGCATAGGAAATATAACTAATAATAGTGTAGCGTCTCGGTATGGTGGTAGGGGGTGACTGCACTCACTGTGGTGAGCATTCAGGAATGTCTGTAAGTGTCGAATCCCTGTGCTGTACATCTGGAAACAATATAATACTGTGCACCAGTGATATGCCCAAAACAAGCACCCCATTTGTCTACTTTATCCAGAATCGCCTCTCAAACCCTTTGTGCTGTGCTCCATCAGGGAGTTCAACAACATGACAAAAAAGCCCTGAAGATATTTTAAGAGGTAAAGCTTAGAAAATTTCTTGCACCCTAAGTCTTACATTTTGCTGTCTAAACTCATTAGGATTCATTTCAGGCCAAGTCATTCTTTAAAATCTATCTGCGAGTATGTTTTAATGTCCAGCGGCCAGATGTAGGGAAGAACAGTCATGTCGAGTGCACTGAACAGAACTCACCACCTCCCGTCTCCAGCAGTGGCTGAGAAAAGTGTCCCTGGGATGCACTTAACATACCAGGCCTGAGCTCCCGCGGAGGAAGCAGGTGAGTGAGAAGCAATTAGAGCCCAGGCAGCAGGAGGGGGGCGGAGGGGAGGCACGGGGGCGGGGAGTAGGGAGCCGTAGCCCGCGGAGGCAGCTCAGAGGAGGACCCTGCACATGAGCGCAGAGGGCGGCTTGGACAGGATGGTGGCAGTGGGAAAGGAGGGAAGCAGATAGACTTGAGACGTATGTGGGAGGAAAAACCGCCAAGGGCCACGGGTTAGGTGAGGACACAGGGGAAAGAGCGTGCTCCTTGTTTGAGTGACCCGTTTACTGACACGGAAAACCAGGAATGCACCCCTAGATGTGGGATCTGATAAGCTGCAACTCCTCCGAGGCACATGCGCCCTTGAAAGAAGAAAGCCCTCTGGCCTCGGGAAGGGGGAGAAAGGGGGAGGCTGGGGAGGTGGGCTGGCAGGCAGGTGGGCTGTCATGTTCGTTTGATTTTCAGGGGGCTCTCTTGTTTGTGTTTTTTAGTTGAGATGTAATCGGCACAACATTCTACGAGTTTCTCCGCGGTGAGCCCGGGGTGTACCCATCACCACACACAGTCACGGGAGTTTTTTTTGCGGTAACTTTTAAGTTGTACCCTCTCCCTTGGTAACTAGAGTCAGCACGCCCTCCCTTGCACCCCCAGGACTGGTGGCTACTTTCCAGCGGAGGATCACCTCCTCCGCCTGTGCGCAGGGCTCCCTGGGCATAGTGACCACCTCTTACCAGGAGGGCATGGGAGTGAGAGGAAGCCTATGCCACCTTCTCCCTGCCTCCTCCAGACACATGCCCACCATTACCAACAGAAAGACTTGTCCTGGCGCTGGGGCCTGAGGTCAGGCGGGTGCTCCCCGGCGGCTCCTGACCACAGCCAGGCCCAAGTTCCCCTCCCAAAGCAGCGCCCCCCGACAGCCCCCGGTGCGGGGCCAGCTGAGGCCTCCCAAAGCAGCCACCCCTGGAAGGGGCCGGTCTCACTTCAGGCTCAGGAAGAGGGGCGAGGCCGCGCTGGAGAGGGTGGAATCCCGTGTTCACGGAGGGGCAGCAAGGACGGGAAGCCGGCTCTGTCCCAGGCCCGGGGACCGTCCGCTCCAGGCCCGCGCTGAGGAGCCCCTTAAAAGGGCTCGCCATCGCCTTCAAGGCATTTGAACCCAACCAGGTTCTTCATAGCAAGTGCCTGTCTCTACATACACGAGTGTCACCATCCCCTCGGCATGTATCCGAGTCACACCAGCAGCTCTGATCCTACAGAAATCATGATATGCGCCCCCAAGTGGGCTCGATTACGGTTATGGTACCTAGAAGATGGGTTAATCTAGAGGGAAATAATCATGCTTCCATAGGTAATTTTGCTTTTCCTATGAAATTAAAACAGCCAAAGAAATAATAACCACCCAATTAAAAAGGATACCAGGTTTAAATGTTAAATGAAATATAATTGCCTATGCACAATTGAGTTCCAGTCTCCCTCCCCTTTAACCCCTAGTAATCCCCGGTTTTTTCATATGGGTCCTGCCTGGTTCCTGGCTGGGTCCCTGGCCACCTCACTGTCATTAGAGCAAAAGCTCTGTGAGGTCGGGCCCGCGTCCATCTGGGGCCCTGCTGGGGCCCCCGTGCCTGCATCCAGCCTGCCTCATTTTAGGGGACCGGGAATACGTGTTCAGGGGGTGAATGAGTAGGCGCCGTCCAGCACTAGGGCTTCAGGATGCACCGACCGGCGGGGACCACTTCTGGAGGGGCCGGAAGGAGCGAGAACTGAAGGGCTGCCTGAACCCAAGCGGGGCAGCCAACAGCAGAGAAGGGGGCGCGCTGTGGGTCGGCTTCTCCCCTGACGGGCTTTTAGGAGGCCAAAAGTAAGAGACAAGGAGAACGGTCAGGCAGAGGAGCTCAGGTGTGAACAAGGAAGCAACCAGCTCTCATTCTCGCTGGTGCTGGCCAGGCGCCCTGCAGGCAGGCCCCCCGGATTCATGATTAGATTCACGATTAGACATGGTCCCCAAAGAACTGTTCTTGGAATCAGACTCATTCTGACATGGTTTAAAAACTCCAAAACAGTTTGATAACACAGATCTTTACAGTGCACTACACTGTCGTTAGAGGAACTTCAGCTCAAGGCTACATTCCCTGAAGCATATTGGTTATTTTTTCTTAGTCACTCACATGATGAATTCATAGGGTTTTGTGGAAGGAGAAAAAGAGTAAAACAAATGTCTACCAAATTTCTTAGTAATTCTCAGAGCCTTCAATATGTTAATGAATCTAGAATTGTGTGCCCGTGTATGTCCGTGTGGCATCTCTTAAAACCATAATTCTCCAAAGTGCTTTTGGGAAATATTGATGCAGTTACTCAACCTTATTTTGCTAAAAGAAATTTCCCACCGTTGTCAAAATTTTTCTCCTTAGACGTCCTCATTTTCTTTTTGTGTGGCATGATAAAAGCCCAGGGGAAGCTTAGGACCTGAAATATGTTTCTCAGTAAGAAAGAAATACATTTTTTCTTCTAAGGTTGTTTTCTCTTCTTTTTTACTTTTTTTTTTTTGCATTTTGAAGGCAAGACCGGTATTAGCCCTTTTATATGTATATAAAATAACCCCTTAATTACCATCACAAACACAAAAACATAATAAAAGTGTTGTGTGAAAGAACACAAAGTTAGAAAAACAATTTACCAAACTATAACATTAAAAAAGACTTTTAAAATAAAATGTCACCACAAAACAGAGATACAGTATGATTCATCACCCTATATTTTAAAGTAGAAAGACTTGTTAATTTCATAATTCCTGAGAGTGACGCTTTATAATTTGCCCAAGGACTTGAATGTGTTTCCTAATGGCCCCAAAGGTGGCAGTAGCTGCTGGTAAAAGCCTTGATGGGACTGCGGAGGTTGCTTGGGTTTTTTTTTAAGGTTTCTCATTAAGAAAGGATTACATTCTAAACTAGCCATGTCCCTTAATTCCTTGTGTTCCCAGAGGCTCATACGATCAGAATTCACCTTCTCCTTTTCTTCACAGCACCAAAGTTGTGCAGTTAGTGAGTGTAAAATATTCTCTGAGAGGAAGGTACAGATTGCAGAATTTTTCCGTCTTAAGAGGTCAAAAGACAGTAGATTATCAATTTAGTTATCCTTAATTCCACCTGAACTACTTCCTTACAGATTCCCTGAACCTCTCTTACTTCCTTTTAACAGAAACGGGTGAATAACATAAGATAAACACATAAACAGTGGTTCGGGCGTTGGCCTATCCCCACGGGTCATTTAAGAGGTGTCCACTGCAGTCTGAAACAAATTTTTGGTTCCCATTTGCCCATCATCTACTCACTTTCACACTCTGACAAGGCGCTTCTCCGCCCTGTGGCACGAAGGGCACAGCAATTAAGACGGAGGCCGTCCTGAAGGATGGCTGGCAAGGTGGCACGGGCACAGCTCCGGGTGCAGCCGGAACTGCCCGTGCTGGGCACAGGCCCTCAGCAGGCTCACCCCTGCAGAGCACAGTAAGGTGGGTTCGGAGGGTCCCATGCCAGGGGAAGGAGCCGGGCAGTGAGAGACAGTACTTCCACGTGGAACCTGAAAAACAAAACAAATGAACAAAATAGAAATAGTCATAAACACAGAAAACAGACTGGTGGTGCGACAGGGGAGGGGGCAGAGGGTGGGCAAAATAGGCGAAGGGGATAAAGAGGTTTATAACTTCCAGTTATAAAATATATTAATCAAGGGGATAAAAATACAGCATAGAAAATATATTCAATAATATTTTAATACCTTTGTATGATGACAGACGGTAACTACATTTACCGTGGTGAGCATTCAGGAATGCATATAATTGCTGAATCACTATGTTGTACACCTGAAACCAGTATAATATTGTATATCAACTATGCTAAAAACAAAGAGAGTGAGTGGGTCCTGAGCTCTGAGCACCACCCTCAGTCTTGTGGGGTTTTTCCCTCAAAGAATTGCCCGTTGTCCATTTTCCAGGAGTCTGCGTGATGCTGGATCACAGAGCGGCTGTAGCCCCAAGACAGACTTTGCTGGTCCGTCTCCGTCCCCCCACAGGCCTGCTCTGTGCCCAGGGAGACCGCCTCCCACAGATGACACGGCAGGAGAGGGGGCAGGCTTTCTTCTCCGCCCCATGCCTGGAGCTCTGTCTCTGCTGAGCGCTGTGAGGCACCCCCCGTGGCGGCCCATGTCATGCCCCAGCTTCCCCAGGCCCCACCACCACCTTTTCCCCCTTTGCCCCTTCAGCCCTCTGGGAAATAACAGCTGCCTGCTGGGGCCAGACTCGGTGACTCAAATCCCTCGTTCTTTTCCTCAACTCTGCACACCTCTGAAGGTAGTCTCTGTTAAAGTCTCTTTATTTATTATCTCAGGCAAATTCTATTTCCTGCCAGGAACCTGACTGATAACCAACTGACACTCTTTTTCAAAATGAAGCTACTGAGAGAGAGCTTGAGTGAACAGAATATATTCTCTTCACAACCTCAGTGAGAGTACTGCTGAGGAGTGTGGGTTTGGGGGCCATGCAGATCTGTTCTTATTAACTGTGTAAGTCTAGCTACACTTAACTTTTCTAAGTGTAAGTTTTTTCACGCAAAAAATGGAGCTAAAACAGTGTTTAATTCTTTTAACAACATAGGACTGTTGTTAGGATTAAATGAGATTATGTTTGTAAAATACTTAGCACAGTGCTTAAAACATTGAAGACTTAAATCAGTACATTGGAGTTCTTCTCTTTTATCATTATTTACTTTTAAGTGTATTTCAATTTTCAAACTCTAGTAACCATAATGTTGCTCATGTATTTGTACATTACTGATACCAAAAAAAAAAAAAAA